CGCAGCCCCTGTGAGAGCCACATGCTCGGCGGGGGGGAAAGGCCAGGGGCTGTGCTCCGCTGCGCCACGCTCTTTACCCCCCTCCTCCTCCTCCCGCCCGCCTTCCCTCCCAGGGTTGTGGTGAGGGGGGAGCGGTTACAATAAAAGTCTTGGGCAGGGAGGTTCCTTCAGCTCTGAAGGGAGAGCACGACAGAGGGCAACTAAGGAATCGCTGCGGAGGAGCTAAATTCCTTCAGCATCCACCCGGCCCTTGGGCTGGCCCTGGAGAATTCCTACCGCCGTGGGTGGGTTTTTTAACAACACGGGCTACATAAGATGCAAACCCACCCCAAGCAAAACGGGAGGCTTTTCCTTGTATCTGTGAATGTGCATTTGGCATGCTTGGGTAGCGCAACAGGCAGCAACACAGCTTTCCTCCGATTGACATGCTTGCGTAGGGAAGAGATGTAAAGGAGCCACGGTGGTACTATTTTGTGGGCCAGATGCCCAGCAAATGTAAATTGGCTTGAGTGAAGTCAACAGCTGAGGATCTGGCCTGTTATTTACATATGAGCTTTTACACATACGAACTAAGCCTCACAGTGTGTGATTATTATGGTAGCGCCTAAGGGTTAAGTGAGAATGGTCCGCATCGTGCTGGGCAATGTACAACACAGAGATCCTACCCCTAAGAAGCTTATAATCTACCTGAACAAGGCCAACAGGAAAGAAGGACAGAACATACAGCAGAAGGAACAATACAGGGACTGCAAATGTCCTGATGTTTCGAGGACATCCTCTGATCAGATTATTACAACCATTGTACAGAAAGGTTATTTGACTTGCCTATGGTCACATACTGAGTCAGTGACAGAGACAAGAACAGAATCCAGAAGTTCCTGATACTCAGTCTACTTGTCCCAGCCACTAAACAACATTGTCTCCCCTTTGAGAAGGGCCAGCAATCCCCCGCAGCATCTTGGATTCCTTCATCTCTGTCCCAGTGGAGAGACAGTGGAGAGAGTACATATTCAAATGTTTGGGGGGTGCTCATAGAGGACACCTCAGTATCTGGATAAATGCAACTTTCCTATGTTTCTTCTATTGATGACTTATGCAAATAAACAACAGATCCTTTCTTTGGTGCAAATGGGATTTAAAACCTTATCTGAGGGTCTGGCAGCAACTGCTCTTTAGGACAAATTGCAAGGCAGCAAGTCTTACAAAAGGTGAAGTATCTGCTGCTGAACAGAATCACCAGATCCTGCCCTGTTTAAGCAAACACTCATAATAAAAGCAGTTTCTATTGAATACCTGTCTCAACTAAGAAACAGTAGCCAGTTCCTTTGAGATAAACCACCCCTCCATATTGAAGTTACAAAGATCAGTTAAGCAGGAGATGTGCTTTGATCTTCATTGACTGATCAGCTAGGGGGGAGGGGGGAGATCTGAAAACTAAAGCTTTCTACAGCAGAGAGATAAGTATTCTTCCCCTGTCACTACTGTGGGGGTGCTGGAATTCAAAACCCACCAGATGTTTGTGTTGTGAAAGTTTCCACCCAAGAGATTTTTTTAAGTGTGGTGGGGGTAGCGGAGAAGGTGGAGGGTGGAGAACACACTAGTGTTTGTGACCCTATAGCACACAATCACCTTCTCCAGATGCCTGGAATAGCTGCTGGTACTTCCCTCACTCAGTGTAGCAAAAGCTGCTCAGTTACACTGTCTTCTGAAGTTGTTGCCCCATGATCCAGCTGGGGCTGGCAAAAGAATAGTCAGAAAAAATATAACCCCAAACCCAGCAGTGCATTTATGGATCTAATTTGTTTCCCAGGTGGAAAAATTAATCACTACATAGAAACGAGCTAGCTATCTTCTGAGACATTTTCCTCTCATTAAAATAACCCACAAATAGCAGGGGCACATGGAAGCAACCATGGTTTTACACAGCAGGGAAACATGGCCTTGTGAAAGCACTGGGAGCTAGATGATCTGAGTTCAATTTCCCACTCTGCCAAGGGCTTTGTGGGTGTCCTTGGTCAAGTCACATCAGAGGCAGATTTCCAAAGCCATCAATGATAGATAATGGCCAGATGTGCCTTGAAAAATTACCCTCAGTCTCTGTGTGCTTCCCATTGTTTATCTGTGAGATAGGGCTGGTCACCCTTCTCATGCTCACAGGACAGCAGAGAGAGTACATATTCAAATGTTTGGGGGGGTGCTCATAGAGGACACCTCAGTATCTGGATAAATGCAACTTTCCTATGTTTCTTCTATTGATGACTTATGCAAATAAACAACAGATCCTTTCTTTGGTGCAAATGGGATTTAAAACCTTATCTGAGGGTCTAGCAGCAACTGCTCTCTATAGCAGGTCTACACAGCAGGGCTAAATTTGAAATAAGCTACACTAATTGCGTAGCTTAAATTAAAATAGCTTATTTCAATTTTTGGCCCTGTCTACACAGCAGGTACTTCGAAATTGAGCACTCTTCCCCCGACTTCCCTTACTCCTCGTTCAATGAGGGTTACAGGAGTTGGGGTAAGAAGCCCATTATTTCAAATTTATTTTGAAATAACAGGCTTGCTATGTAGATGCACACTTTGTTATTTTGGAATAAATGACATTATTCCAAAATAATGCTGCTGTGTAGATATAGCCTACATCTGCTCATTATTCACTCACAGAACCAACCCAGCTAGAGATAGAAACCCTAATAAGTCATCCAGTCCATGTCCTTGACAAGTGCAGAACTGCTTCCTACAGTCTATTCCCTTATTGTTTTCTCCAGTCCATTATTGAACTGCTCAACCAATGGGACACAAGTTCATTTGCTACAGTTAAATTGCACTATAACTCTCACATAATTAAGTCTAACATTTACTGCACTGAATCATTTCACTGTGTTTCTATTTTCTCTACTTCCTTTTGGCTGTGCACAGAAAGAAGCAAGGCCAGGTTTTTAGGTGGAAGAGGATGAAAGTGATGCTACAATCTGATGTTTAGGGTCTTTTTTGTACAATACTCATTTCCTGTACATATTTTTTTCTATTGTTATGACTCTGCTCGCATTTAAATTCCTAGATACTTTTCAGCCATCTGCCACTTAAATTGCTCAATGTTGATCTGAGAGGTCTCACCCTTCTGAGAGAGAATGTAATATGCAAAAATCTTAATTCCCAGAAGGAATTATCCATGTTCCTGTTGGTTGATTACATGCCCAGCAGGAGAAACAATGTCAAGTTTCTCTCTTTAGCTGGACCCAATGTAATGTAACCAAGATGTTTCCTTCACTAGTTCTCCGGTTTATTATAGTTGCAAATCGATATTGGTTATTTTATGAGATGTACACAGTGTGTCATTAGCTTGACCTTTTAATGGAGAGCACAGCTTTAACCTGTCAAGAGCCATTTGTCACACTGCTGCTTAAATCCTCACAAGGAAAGGAGACACAGTAAGAAACTGACCGTGTACTAAACATAACCTTGCAGAAATCCAGTCATAACAGGCAAAACAATTTCTTTTTCTCAGTATGATTTTGGGGCCAAGCGAACCAGGGTGCACATACTTCAGTTATGTGTTTGCCAATGACAGAATTTGGTTCAGCCTTTAACTCAGTTATCAGAGCTGATATTCATTGAAGTCAAGGAAAAGACGGCCTTTAACTTTGTTGGATTGGGCCCATCGTATATTTAGTAGGTTTGTGAAACTGACAGCCCTGGAAACTGAAAATTGCTTCTCCCCAGAGATGAGATTGGGACAGCAACACCCCACCAGTATAGCTCAAGAGGGGCGTCATTCTGAAACCTGATAGGACAAATCAATTTCAATGCCCTTTTAACCACAGGCATCACTCTTGAGACTGCTCACAAAGTTACCAAATAGTGGTAATTGTGGCAATGGTTCCTGCGATGTGGATGCAAGTCCATTGGGAACTAGACTGAGGCCATTAGCCTGGTCCACCTAACACCCAGCTCCTTTCTGGTGGGAAGGTGAGCACTGAATGTAATGAGGCCACCTAGTCTTCCACTGAATACTGACGGAGGGGTCACCATGTCTGCCTTTTCAGCCCAGCTGCACAGTTATGTGGTTATAAGAGACAGACAGAAAAGCAGCTACTAAAAAATGCCTCCCAAAGTCAAAAGAAAACTATAAAAGATCCAAACTAAAACACACACTCCCTTACTTATAGTAGTAACCTCTGACACACATTGTGAACTCTGGCTCCCTGCTCCCAGACAAGCCAAAATAATGCAAGCAGTCCACATTTGCATGTGCTTAACTTTTAAGAAGCAGCATTTCTGTGGCAATAATTAGTTTACATCAGGCAGCATGTGCAGTTTGAAAGTGGCTAGTGCCTTATTAATTGGCCCACACTCTAGGGTGGATGCGGTGATTCTGGTAAGAAGCTGGCGTCGGACATGGTCCAGTGCTTTTCTGCTGGAGAAAGGAGCTGGGAGAGGGATTTCAGTGTTCAGCACACTGCAGACAGATTTTCTCATTGGAAATTGTTCCAAGGAGCTGTCTAACTGGCCAGGCACCAGATGTTTGTGACGGGCAACAAAGAGCTGCAGTCAAAGCCTTTCAATCAGCCCCTTTTGTGAGAACATTTGTGGCTTGGGCCACTCCCTAATGAGCTTGGTGGAGAAGAGGCCCAGTGGCCTGCATCCATTTCTGCAATCTGATTCTGAGCAAGTCACATGACTATGGGCTTGATCCTGGCCTGGGTGAATCAAAGGGCACTTTGAATGGCTCAGCGGCAGCGGCCTGGCTTTGTAGCATGAAAAGAAGTCTGGACACTAATGATACGGAAGGAAGGATGGTTTTGTGACTAAAGCACAGGCCTGGGTGAAGAGATAGGGGTTCTATACCTAGCTCTCGCACACACTTCCTGGGTAGCCTTTGTGTGAAACACTAAGTGCCAAGCCTCCAGGGGTTTGGGTCCACATGGCGTGACAGACAGCGCGTGTGTCTGCTTAACTCGGACACACAATTTGTCATGACGGGGCACGCAGCATAATTATACACATATGCCGGCCGTGATGATAAAAGGTGTTGCTGATCATCGGCACGCCCGCATATTTATAGTTGCTCTGCATGCGTCCAGAGGTCGCGTCCAGAGGTCTGAAAATCTTTGTGCTTCTGAAACCACAGCTGCATACTGCGGAGAAGCCGACTTCACAGGCCTGTTCTGAGGCTGAATGAGATAGGGCTGAATGCTTGCCCTGATCTGCTTCCTTTGTGCCACCCAGAATGGGAGTGGAAACTCCCTGCAAGTCCCCAGCTTGGGATTCCCCTATGTGCCTGCCTGGGGAGGTCCCCTGCATGTGTAAAAACATCAGCTGGCTCCTATGCCTCCCCCAGTCTCAGGAGAGAGTGTGTGCTGGGGGTGGCAGGAGTAGTAATGTAGTGTTCTGGCATCCTTATCCTATTATGGTGCTGAGGGAGACAAGTCAACTGATGCATTTTGGAGCAGTACCCAGATTGCTTTCCCTTGAGCCAGGACTAAGCAGTGAATCAGGGGTTCCCTGGCAGCCCCTAACCCTGGGCATAGCAGAGAATCTGGATTTCATAGTTGTAAAGCCCACTGTGATCACAGATGGAAGAAGACACTGCTCTCGCACATTAATTATGCCACTGTAGCACCTATTAACTGTGGATTGGAGACACTGTGGAGTTTGGATTGGCACTGCTGTCACTCTCAGTAAACGTGTCAACTATCCCACAGCTGGGAAACACCCCTTTGTTCTCGGGCAGTCCAAGTCACTGTCTGAACTCTTAGGCTGTGTCTAGATTGGCATGATTTTCCGGAAATGCTTTTCCATTACAAGCATTTTCGGAACAGAGCGTCTAGATTGGCATGTACGCTTTTCCGCAAAAGCACTTTTTGCAGAAAAGCATCCGTGCCAATCTAGACACGCTTTTTTGCAGAAAACAAATCTGAGCTGTCCACACTGGCCCTTTTGCGCAAAAGCTTTGAGCAAAAGGGACTTTTGCCTGAACGGGAGCAGAATAGCATTTCCGCAAGAAGCACTGATTTCTTACAGTAGGAAGTCAGTGCTTTTGCGGAAATTCAAGCAGCCAGTGTAGACAGCTGGCAAGTTTTTCCGGAAAAGCGGCTGATTTTCCGGAAAAACTGGCCAGTCTAGACACAGC